GTGCTCCCTGCCTCCTTGGAGCTGCTCTCCAGAAGACAGAAAGAGCCATGCTGCACAGGACATCACACGTCACCCAAACCATAACGACATAAAATTAGAAAACTAACAATAATGTACATTTGTGCTGCTGCATAAGCATTCTAACACCTCATTTAATCCTAACAACTCTGAAAAGTAGACTCTGTCCTCTGAAAATTTAAGAAAAAGTTCTAAACTTACCTCGCAATGGTCCCCAGAAGAGTTTATGAAAGAACTAGTTTGTGCTTTGTCTTCTTGTATATGACAGATATTATTTTATTCAGTATAGATTATCCTAGTTCTAATAAGGATTATATGTAACACACACACACACACACACACACACACACACTTTTGAGAAAATGTCTCACTATGGGGATCAAGCTGGCCACAAACTCATGGTGATCCTCCTGCCTCAGACTTGAGTCCTGAGATTACATGCCTGGCCATCACACACAAATATTTTTTACATTATACCACTTGTCTTTGTAAGTAATCCGAGCCTAATGATTTTTTAAAAAATTCAATCTATATATTGTGGCTAGGCACAGTGGCACACACCTATAATCCCAGCACTGAGGGATGCTGAGGCAAGAGGATCCCAAGTTCAAGTCCCATCAGGGCAACTAGCAAGGCCGTATCAAAAAAAAAAAAGAAAAAAGAAAGAAAAGAAATAAAAAGAGCTGAGAATGTGAAGGTTCAGAGTTCAATCACTAGTACTGAGGAAAGAAAGAGAGAGAATCCATTATAATTAAGACCTAAATGCCTTATAAAAACAACCACCCATCATATGCCGGAAAAACTTAAGAGACACAATCTTCACTGAAGTAAAGCCAAGCAAAAAGTACTAGTAATTAACAGTCTATGATGCTTAAGAAATACTCCCCATTTTTTTTTTTTTTTTTGGTTTTTTTTGAGACAGGGTCTCACTATGTAGTTGAGACTGACCTGGAACTCACTATGTAGCCAAGGGTGGTCTTGAACTCACAGCAGTCCTCCTGCCTCAGCCTCCCGAGTGCTGGGATTATAGGCATGCACCACCATGCCAGGCTAATACTCCCCATCTTAACATATAGCTAGTAAACTACAAATTCATCATTACTTCAAGAAACTCAATAAAGCTGGGGATTTAGTTCAGTGGTGCTGCCGCCTGCCTCACAAGTGCAAAGTCCTGATTCAGTCCTCGGCACCGGGGGAAAAAAAACAAAAACAAAAACAAACTCAAAAGGACCCTCCATTAAATTTATAATAATGCTGTCAAAAAAAAATTTTTTTTTTGAGACAGGGTCTTGCTATGTAGTCCAATCAAAACTTGAGTCACTATCTATTTAGACCAGGCTGGCCGTGAACTCATGGCATTCCTCCTGCCTCAGCCTTCAGTGATGGGATCACAGGTGTGCGCCACCACAGCCAGCCTGGCACAAGGCTCTGCTGTCTAGGGATGGAGGACACAGGCAGGTCTTGGGAGAAGGACCACTGACATTATGTCTACTGAGCAGATACCTGCCTGGCCCGTTCTTGTGAACTGAATACCCATGAATATTTTCATCTACTTTACTGACAGCAACAAAACAAGGAGAACTATGAACAGTCTTGATAATACACTATAGTCCCAAACCAGTGTGTGTAAGGCACATACACTAAGGGAGGGACAAGTGTACTCACACCTGGCTTTAATCTACAGTTAGGCTGTGGGGCTGAGGATTTAGTTCATGGTGCTGCTGCCTGTCTCACAAGCACAAGGTCCTGAGTTTGATCCCCAGTACAAAAAAAAAAAACATCTGTGGCAAAAAAAAATCTGTGCATCAAGCACCTTCTAACGGCTACCACATTCTCAAAATATGACACGTTACCTTGAAAGTGCAAGATGATCAGCCCTTAAGCATGTGAGTGCCACTGACACTCAGGTCAGCATGTGTGTTTTGTTAATCCAGGAGCTGGACATGGAGACTGCATCATTTTAAATAAAGTGTAACAGAAAATGGAATACTACTCAGCCATAAAGAATGAGAAATTAGAGTCATTCGTAAGAAAATGGATACATATTGAGGATATACTCTTAAGTGAAATAAATAAGTCATACATATGTAAATATCGAATAGTTTCTCTGGTGTGAAAAACTGTAATAGTACACAAGATCCTAATAGGATAATTAACAATGTGAAATAGGAAGAAAGGGGCTAAAGGTGTACGGAAAGTGGGAAGGGTAGGGGAAAGGGAATAAGGGAAAAGAAGAAAATGAAAAAATGGAAATAAAGTGTTTGCACATGGGGAGGGGAGGAAGGGGTGAAGGGAGGGCAGGGACAAGGGGAAAAAATGAGAACCAAGACCTGTCATGTAAAGGTACAAGATCCCAGTAATGAATGTAACTGTATTGTATACCTAGAATGTACCAATAAACTCAATAAAAATAGATAAATAAATAAATAAATAAAGGGTAACAGGAAGCAGGCAGGGCTAAGTAACACATATTCCAGTCTAGAAAGATGCTGACAAATGCATTCGATGTCACACATAACACAGGATTCTAATGGCCCAAAATTGATATAAAATCTTAGCTTCACAGAGCAATTAGAAATGTTTTTTTGCTACAAGTAATAATGTAACATTTCTAAGACTCAGAACTCCAAGTACTCTTCTTTCCCCAAGCTTTCCAGGAGCCAAGTTTTGTAGGAAAGAATACAGCTCTAACACATAAGTGATACTTACGTGGCTCTTTATGCTAAACACTGTCTCAGGTATTTATTGCATTAAAATACCAGTCAAGTCTTTCACTCTGAGATCCTGGGAAAATTATTTAATTCATCTGGCCCCTAGTTCCTTGACAAATAACTGACAATTTTGATGACTATGAAAACATGGTTCTGAATGATTTACACACTAAACACTCACAAGGTATTTTTTGTTTTTTGTTTTTAGAGATAGGATCTTGCTATTTAGTTCAAAGTAGCCTTGAACTCACTATGTAGCCGAGGATGGCCTTGAACTCACAGTGATCCTCTTGCCTCAGACTCCCAAGGGCTGAGATTACAGGCAGGTGCCACCACACCTGTCCTCACAAATTATAAAATGAACAATATTTTGTAGCAAAAAAGACTGAGACAAAGAAGAGCAAAGTTAACCTGTTCCTGGTTTCAAACCTGAGATCATAAACTAACCTGTTACACCTGGGATGCTGTCAGGGTTCAGATCTAGACTCTCCCCCAAAAGCCTTATGTGTTCAGAGGGGTGACTTCTGGAAGGTGACTGGACCTTGGGGATACTACAGCATCAGAGGTAGTCCCTGGCTGCAGTTGAGTTGCTGGGGTATGATCCGGAAAGTGTTTTCTTGTCCCTCTCTGCTCTCTCTGCTCCTTGGCTGCCCAGGGATGAGCAACTGTTCCACTCTCAGGATCTTCCACCACGCTCCTCTCCCATCCTGCTTCTGTCTTGGAGCCAGTCAATGTGAGCCAAAATAAACCTCTCCTCTTTAAGTCGGTATTCAGTCCCAGCAATAAGGAAGTGACTTAGATGCAGTGTCCTTTGCACAACCTTAGTGAATGAAGAAACAAAGTCTTCCTATATGGCCTGTCAGTGACAGGTCAGTGACAGTGATATTTCTTTAAAAGCAAGAAGGTTCTTCAAAATCCTTTTAGGACTACTGGCTCAAGATCTGACCTAGTTTTCTAAAAACAACACAACACCTCTTGGCCAAAGGAAGTCTCCCTTGAGAAGGGCACTCAATGCTGTCTGCTTTTCCCTCTGCCAGTTGCAAACTCTTCCCCCAGGGAAGCACAACCTGATTGAATACAGTATGACAGTAAAATCACTCACAGTGTCACCTATGACATTCAATTTCGTCTCAATGGATTTTAAATGTTTTGTGAAATAAAGGAGTTACTTACTGTCTAGCATCAGCAACTACTAGGCAGCACTCATTATAATTAGCTGTATCTTCCAATTACATATCACATGAGAAATTTAGAAAGTAGCTGTAATAAACATCCTCTGAGAGGTATTTGAGGACAAGGACCCGCCTCTTAATGCATCTTAGCAGCCACACTACCACACACTGCATGAAATTGGCCTGTAAGCATTTCCTGGAGGTTTATCAATAACGGTAAAATAACATAATTTGTAGTAAAAGGAATGATGCTTGCAAAACAAGCCAAAGTTCGAAGGCTCTGTTTTCTGAACTAAGAGTACAAGTTGAATTGTGTAAAGAAACACTAATAATTAATGCCATGTTTGCTAAGTATGTACCGCTGGTCCTTCTCAAAAATAAAAATCTGCTGAGTGACAGCAGAGGATCTTTCGTTTCCCAAAAGGAAAAGAAAACACGCTATTTCTGCCTCCCTCATCCTAAACAGCTGAATCATTCACATAACCAACGGCCAAGATTTCCTCCACAAGCTGTCCGTGCGCACTGCTTCCCCAGAGGTGCCAACGCGAAGCCTTCCCTAGGACTGCACGGACGAATTACAGGACATTAACGGGATCCCCCAACGCTGCCGACTCAAGCCAGGAACTGCGTTCTCTCTCACCAGACGGCAGGCCTGGCTACTGATCAGACTCTGGCAAAGAAGGAAAACCAAGCCAGGAGGAGCCGCACCCCACCACCCAGGAGCCGCGCAGAGAGCCTGCTGGGCCCCGAGCCTTGCGCGGGTCCATTGGCGGGTCCCACACGGAA